CTGGTTTAGTCCTGGTTTAGTCCTGGTTTAGGTTTAGTCCTGTTTAGTCCTGGTTTAGTCCTGGTGTAGCCCTGGTTTAGTCCTGGTGTAGTCCTGGTTTAGTCCTGGTTTAGTCCTGGTGTAGTCCTGGTTTAGTCCTGGTGTAGTCCTGGTTTAGTCCTGATTTAATCCTGACCCGTCCGTGTGTAATTAGAACCCGGTGCGGGACTCTTGAGCTGGATTTAACTATCTTTATTAAACTAACTTGGTAAAAGGGGCTTGAAAATGACCACTCCATGACATCACAAGGTGGAACAGAGCATTTTGAGCTTTAGAGACGTACAGACTAATAACAAAATGTCACTCAAACATGTGTGAATGAAACAAAACACGAGTCCAGCTCCGTTTGTGACGAGGAAACAACATTATAACATCAGAAAATAGTGAAATATGGACCATTTAAGTGTGGATTTATTACTTTTTGCAGGGAGTAAAGTGAAGCTGTTTAATGTCACACTGTGGGACATTCCAGGCAGAGCGATGACAATACCATAGAAACAAGCAGGCGTCGCAACCCTCCACCAGAAAAGTTAGAAATTGCACCTTTAAGCGTGTATGTGGTTTTAAATGTTGCAGGACGTTCTAAAGCGACGCGTGTGAGAGACATTAAAACTGCAACTGTGTGAAAAGGAAACTGGAAACCACATCCTGTTTTTTTAAAAATTATTTTCACAGTTTCGCAGTCTGCATTTTCATGACATTCATACCACACTCCTTCACCTTTATGTGACAGATAATACTCCCTACAACTGTGCAACAAGTCACCCTTACATAACAGATAATACTCCCTACAAAAACTCACCTTTATGTAACAGATAATACTCCCTACAACTGTACAACTCACCTTTATGTGACAGATAATACTCCCTACAGCTGTGCAACATGTCACCCTTACATAACAGATAATACTCCCTACAACTGTGCAACAAGTCACCCTTACATAACAGATAATACTCCCTACAAAAACTCACCTTTATGTAACAGATAATACTCCCTACAACTGTGCAACATGTCACCCTTACATAACAGATAATACTCCCTACAAAAACTCACCTTTATGTAACAGATAATACTCCCTACAACTGTACAACTCACCTTTATGTGACAGATAATACTCCCTACAACTGTACAACTCACCTTTATGTGACAGATAATACTCCCTACAACTGTGCGACAACTCACCCTTATGTAACACATAATACTCCCTACAACTGTACAACAACTCACCTTTATGCAACAGATAATACTCCCTACAACTGTACAACAACTTGACCCTTACATAACAGATAATACTCCCTACAACTGTACAACAACTCACCTTTATGCAACAGATAATACTCCCTACAACTGTACAACAACTTGACCCTTAAGTAACAGATAATACTCCCTACAACTGTACAACAACTCACCTTTATGCAACAGATAATACTCCCTACAACTGTACAACTCACCATTATGTAACAGATAATACTCCCAAGAACAACTCACTTTTATGTAACAGATAATACTCCCTACAACTGTACAACTCACCTTTATGTGACAGATAATACTCCCTACAACTGTACAACAACTTGACCCTTAAGTAACAGATAATACTCCCTACAACTGTACAACAACTCACCCTTATGTAACAGATAATACTCCCTACAACTGTACTACTCACCCTTATGTAACAGATAATACTCCCAACAACAACTCACTTTTATGTAACAGATAATACTCCCTACAACTGTACAACTCACCTTTATGTGACAGATAATACTCCCTACAACTGTGCGACAACTCACCCTTATGTAACAGATAATACTCCCTACAACTGTACAACAACTCACCCTTATGTAACAGATAATACTCCCTACAACAGATAATACTATGTCCTGTCAATCATCATATCATCTTGCAGATTTTTTTATGACATCTTGTGTGAGATTTTATTTTTATTATTTATAAATGTATTTATAATATATTTATATTTATTAATTATTATTTATAATTTTAATATTTTTATTACTTTTTTTTTTTACATACACATTTTTATAATTACATTTCTTGTTATTTTTGGTACTTATTTAGAATTTATTTTAACCATTTATATCTTTGCTCTTTGTTATTATTATTATATTGTGATGTGTGGATCAATAAATGTTGTTTGACGTCTAAAGAGGAACCAGAAGTTTTATTCAAGTACAAGTATTCACAGAGGAATAAAAGTACACAGTCTGAAATCTACTCCAAAAACTACAATGTGGTTAGTAACATTGGCAGCAGAAGCAGTAGTAGTGGTTGTAGTATTAGTAGCAGCAGCAGTAGTAGTAGAGGTAGTAATAGCATCAGTAGTAGTAGTAGTAAGTAGTTGAGGAACCACAACTTTTACTCAAATATGAGTACTACAAAAAGTACAATCTGTTTAGTAGTAGTTTAGTAGTAGTAGTAGTAGTAGTAGTAGAAGCAGTAGCAGTAGCAGTAGTAGTAGTAGTAGTAGTAGTAGTAGTAGTAGTAGTAGTAGTAGTAGTAGTAGTAGCAGTAGTAGTAGCAGTAGCAGTAGTAGTAGCAGTGGCAGTAGTAGTAGTAGTAGTAGTAGTAGTAGTAGTAGTAGTAGTAGTAGTAGTAGTAGTAGTAGTAGTAGTAGTAGTAGTAGTAGTAGTAGTAGTAGTAGTAGTAGTAGCAGTACCAGTAGTATTAATAGTAGTAATAGTAGTCGTAGTAGTAGCAGTAGTAGTAGTAGTAGTAGTAGTAGTAGTAGTAGTAGTAGCAGTACCAGTAGTAGTAGTAGTAGTAGTAGTAGTAGTAGTAGCAGTAGTAGTAGTAGTAGTAGTCAGTAGTAGTCAGTAGTAGTAGTAGTAGTAGTAGTAGCAGTAGTAGTAGTAGTAGTAGTAGTAGTAGTAGTAGTAGTAGTAGTAGTAGTAGTAGTAGTAGTAGTAGTAGTAGTGGTAGTAGAAGTAGTAACAGATAGTTTGTGTTAATAATAAATACTGTAGTGATCATTTAAAAAGCACAGTGCAGCTTGTTCTTGGAGATCTCCATGAGGATAGATAAGTTTCATGCCATACTCCCAATCTCCATGGAGACAAGCAGGCGCCACCTCCAGGCCAAGTCACAAGTCAGATCTGCGGAGAGGCGACCCTGATCACCGTAAGAATGTTTGTTTTTTCAAGGTCAAGTCCGTGGACCTTCAGAGCCTCCACCAAAAAGTTAAATAGTGAAACTTTAAATTAACACATTGCAGCGGCGTCGCGGTGGGGGTGTTCTACATGTATGTGTATCGGCGGAATGTTCAGCAGTTACTTACAGCGGCACGAGGCACATATTAACACTGCAGAAGAAGCTTAAAACGTCTATTTAATGTCTAACTTTTCTGGTGGAGCGTCCGTCAAATGCTTTACTCCATGGAGACGTTTTTGCTTCATTGGAGAATAAATGAATCTTCGGTTCGTTACATAAAGAAGGAGGAAAATAACAAAAGGACGACAGCAGTAATAAGTTTTAAGAAAGATACAAAAAGGGTTGTAATTGTCCTGTCTGAGAAAAGTGTATAAAGTGTGTGCTGAGGGGTTTTACAGACTTAAAACAGATAAGATAAAATAAAATAAAATAAAATAAAAGCTTACTACTTTGGGGAAATCCGTGTATCATTCGTTCACCAAAATTAAGAAAACGAAAAAAACAACTATTTTCTTTTAAAAAACAAACAAACTGATAATTCCCGTTTACGTGACTTAAACTGTGATGCCGGACTGAACCAGGACTTAAACAGGACTAAACCAGGTCCAGGACCAGACAGGAACCAGACTGGGACCAGACCAGGACTGAGACCGGAACTGAGACTGGGACGAGACTCAGACCAGACCGGGACTAAGACCGGGACCAGACCAGGACCCGACCATGATTGAGACCGGGACCAGACCAGGACCCGACCATGATTGAGACCGGGACTCAGACTGGGACCAGACCAGGACCAGACCATGATTGAGACCCGGACTCAGACCAAGACCAGACCGGGACCAGACCAGGAACAGACCATGATTGAGACGGGGACTCAGACCGAGACCAGACCAGGACTGAGACCAGCACCAGACAAAGACCAGACTGGGACCAGACCAGGACCAGACCTTTACTGAGACCAGGACCAGACCAGGACCAGACCATGATTGAGACCCAGACTCAGACCAAGACCAGACCGGGACCAGACCAGGAACAGACCATGATTGAGACAGGGACTCAGACCGAGACCAGACCAGGACTGAGACCAGGACCAGACAAAGACCAGACTGGGACCAGACCAGGACCAGACCTTTACTGAGACCAGGACCAGACCAGGACCAGACCGTGATTGAGACCGGGACTCAGACCGGGACTCAGAATCAAGAACAGACCGGGACCAGACCAGGACTGAAAATGCTTTAGCCCTAGTTTAGTCCTGTTTTAGTCCCGATTCAGTCCTGGTTCAGTCCGGCATCACAGTTTAAGTCACGGAAACGGGAATTATCCGTTTTTAACATTATTCATTTAAACACAAAATCGAAAACTGAAAAGACAAATTATTATCTGTTTTTTCATTTTGGTTTTTAGAGACAAATAATGAAGAAAACAGTCATTTTTTCATTTTCTTAATTTTAGTTTTATATTGAAAAACGAATGATACACAGATTAGCGGAGTTCGCCTATTGCGGGTTATTTTTAGAAAGTAACGTAAGGTATTTTTTAGCTTTAAAACCACTTGTAATTGAATAAATGTAAAGTAGTAGTAGCTATTTAATGTCGTATTGTGGGATTTTCCAGACAGAGCGATGACCTATCCATAGAAACAAGCAGGTGACGGACCCTCCACCAGAAAAGTTGCACAACGCACCTTTAAGATTGTCTGAAAACTCACGAAAAACACATTTTCAGGAGCCTGTGGTACAATACAGTCGAACATCAGCCGTAATATTCACAGTGAAACAGAAGCACAACAAAAACAGTCAGGGCCCCGTGTAACAGCGACAGCGGCTGAGTTCGAGTTGGCTCATTTTCATTTTGATCCATTTCACTCGGAGATGGGAGAAGAACGGCGGGCTCTGATTGGCCGAGAGCTCCAGGGTGCGGTACTCCTCGACGCTGCGTTTAATGGAACGGATCGAGCTCCGGGAGAGGCCGGACTTTACCTGGAGCAGACGGGAGACGTGAACCGAGCTGGAGAAGGAGAAAGAGGAGAGGAGAGAGATGAAGAAGAGGGATGAGAAGAAAGACAGGAAGATTTTGCTAAGAAGAAAAGCCCGGATAGCAATCTTAGTATTTATCTGGGGAACAGACTAGAGCTGAGCCAAGTTCCAGTGCAGACCCAAAGTGCATTTATTCCACAACCAAGAAAAATGTGAAACAATTTACAAAAAGAACAACGTTAAAAACAAGAATGACAGTCACCCGCACCCACACGCAGCACCTCCTCTCGCTCCTTTTATAGGACACCTCCCTTAATTGGGTGAGCTCATCTCAACTACAGGTAAGTGCAGGTCATTTTAATACACGCATCAAGAATTTCGGACTTCCGGTCATAGCACAATTCATACTGGGAAGGATTTTCCAAAAAATTTAGCATCAAACCTCCATGTTTGTTTTCCCAGTGGGATGTGTCTATTGATAAAGTCGATCTTTTCAAGTCTTTTGAACCATTTCACTTTTGTTTCTGGTTCTGATATTGTCATATTTTAGTTTTGGGATTCGGACATCGTAATTGTGTGGTTGTTGGATCCAAACAGAGGAAAACGACTCGAGAAATTTGTTTGCGAACTCCATAAATGCAAAAGTGAATCAGATGTGTGTGACTGTAAACCTCTGTTCAAACTGTTTCCCTTCCCAACGGAATTGAAAAATAGTAGAAAAATACGGTAGTTTTGATTAAATTCTTCATGTTTGAATGTTTATCCTTTGTGGACCTTGTTGGTTGAAGATTTGGAGCTGGGGCAAATTTATTAAGCTGTATCTGACCCATCCCCATGTCTCTGGGTTAAACCTGTCAGGAGCATAAACTGTATAGAGTGACCAGATTTTCTAAATCAGAAACTGGGACACCCCTGGGTTGGTCGTGTTTGGTAATAATAAAATTGTGAAACAAGTGCATAATTAAAGAAAACTGTTATGCACTTGGTCCATTCATGACTTCTGATGATAACGTGTGAGTCAGTACAGTCATATTTTATTGTGTTTTCCATAATTTTACCTAAACCTACCTACTCTCTTTACTGTTGGCAGGTCAGATTGGTCAAAAACAGGGACACCAGGGCCATTTCTTGTATAAAACTGGGATAAATCAGTGGTTTTGGATAAATCTGCTGGGAGAGGGGACACAAAACTGACACTGTCCAGGGTAAAGTGAGTTCGACGTCAGCCACGGTGTTTGGCTCCAGTCAAATGAAGCTCAAAGAGGTGAGCAATTACAGGGGCGAATTTTAAGACTTTATATTAGGAAAAGGAATTTATTTACAGACAAAATAATGAAATAAAAACACCAGGATCATGTAGAGCTGGTTAATACAAACATGTTAAGACCAAAATGATGAAGAGGGACGACAATATCCCAAAGAAAGTCGATGGGAGCCAGGGTCAGAATGAGCACAGTTGATTTTAGTGCTGTTTTTTATTTATTTCGATTTCGCTTTAGAGATGTGATGTCCGACTGTGCTCCCTGTACTGTACCTTTATTTCTTTATTTCTGTATTTCGGATCCCCGTTAGTTATTACCGCAGCAGTAACTATCCTACCTGGGGTCGTGTTTTGTACCTGAGGTCGGGGCAGATCTGGACCAGAGACACCAACTCCAGCTGGACCGAGTCCGGGTCCTGAAGTCTGAGGATCTCAACCACGTGAAGGAGGAGCTCCGAGATCCACTGAGAGGTACTGCCCTGCACACACACAGAGACACACACACACAGACAGACACACACAGAGACACACACACAGACACACACACACAGACACACAGACACAGATACAGACACACACACACACACAAAGACACACAGAATACACAGAAATGTTTATTAAGGGCAATAGAACAATACATTAAACAATGCAATAATAAACAACAAAGCTGTCTACCCCAGCACCCTCCAAACACACACAAAATAATAATAAAAAATATGGTAATGGTAGTGCAGCAGAACCACACTGCTAGGCCCCCTTTTATTTATATATTTAGGTCTATTTATAATTTTATTTTACATTTTTTTTCTATTATTAATAAACACCTCAAGTCACTAATATTATTTTCACCATAATTTCTTTTCATCATCTCTTCACTACGATCTTCCATCTTCTATCCATTTTCTATCGCTTATCCAGGCCGGGTCGCGGGGGCAGCAGTTTAATCCAGACTTCCTTCACCCTGGACACTTCCCCCAGCTCCTCCGGGGGGGACCCTGAGGCGTTCCCAGGCCAGCCCAGAGACATAGTCCCTCCAGCATGTCCTGGGTCTTCCCTGGAACCTCCTCCTGGTGGGACATGCCTGGAACACCTCCCAAGGGAGATGTCCAGGAGGCATTCGGAACAAATGCCCTTCTCTCAGCTGGTCCTCTGGATGTAGAGGAGAAGCAGCTCTACTCCGAGCTCCTCCTGTGTGACTGAGCTCCTCACTCTATCTCTGAGGGAGCGCCCAGTCACCCTGTGGCTCTGAGCGGGTGTCCTTTTGGTCATTACCCAGAGCTCATGAAAATAGGTGAGGAGATGAACGTAGATTGACAGTAAATTGAGAGTTTTGTCTTTCAGCTCAGCTCTCTCTTCACCACAACTAGAATACAGCAACCACATCACTGCCGACGCTGCACCGATCCGCCTGTCAATCTCATGCTCCATCCTCCTCAAGAACTCCTCCACCTGAGGCAGGGACTACTCTACGACCTTAACTTAGTTTTAGTTTTTTCTAATTCTAACTGTGGTAAATATTTATCACAGTTTTACAAATTGAAAAGTTCAAAACTACAGGAAATAGTGCAGAATTCTAAAACAGAAGACCTCTACCAACAGTATGTCATTAACACAGAAAACTCTGTCCAGAATGCAGCACGATCACTCACGCGTTGAGTGAAGAAGTCGTCCATTTTTTCGACATCTTCCTTCATCCTGTTGGCTCCGTTCACCTGCTGCTCCTGGCTCTGCCTCTTTGTTTTCACCAGGTTTTTAAAGTAACGCAGCGCCACGTCCCGATGGAGGCGCCCCAGCACCCACTGAACACAGCACCGACGATCAGAGAGTCAGAGTCAACTTTACAAACACTGAATGAAACGACAGTGACAGTGGAATATTCATACTTTGCAGTGACATCACATGGGGGTGTTCTACATGTATGTCTATGGCAGAATTCTTAGCAGCAACCGTGGTGCCAGGTCTGAAAAAACCTTTATTATCAGTCTGTCTACATCTCCAAAACTCAAACTACCCTGTCATGTACCTTTTACTGTTTGTTTAGTACAGAAATCATCCAATTGATTCTAGTGAAGGCATATGGAGTTTAAAAACACTGTGGAGCTTCCTGTATTACCACATGACATCACAAGGTGGTTTCAGTTTGAGAGAAGCCTAAATATGTGTGAACGAAACAAAACACGACACATGAGGAAACAACATTATAAAAGATCAGAAAAGAGTATAATACGGGCGCTTTAAAAATCCTATATTACACTAAATTGTCTCTTGTGAGCTTTGAGCCATGTTAGAATGTTGTTTCCTTCTAAAAAACAGACCTGATGTTGTGTTTTGTTTCATTCGCACATGTTTGAGTAACACTTGATTATTAGTCTGTCTACATCTCCAAAGCACAAAATGCTCTGTTCCACCTTGTGATGTCATGAAGCTGTAGTTTAAGTTAACAGCTCCTTTTACTTTTAGTTCAGTAAAGATTGACAATTCAAGGGCTGAAATCATCCAAATGATTCTACTGAAGGTGTGTGGAGTTTAAAAACACAGTGGAGAGCTTCATGTATGTCATGTACCACATGACATCAAAGTCAACACACACTACCACACATTTGTTGCGCACATTTGTTTATGTTTTACAGAAACGAAACTTAAAACCACATGGCTAATTTGCATAAACTGTAAGTTTATTACTTACAGTTTAAAAGTGAAGTTACTGTAAGAAACTTCTTTCATCAAGGGCCACATCTCTAAACACAGACGAAGCAGAGGGCTGATCGAGAGCCATAGACAGGCTCAGTACAGTGAATAATTGAAATATGTGAATGTTTAGAATGAGCCATCAGTCTTTATTCATACTAAGATCCTTAAAACCACACACTAAATATTAAATATTAGCTTTATCAAGGTAGATTTTACTGCAGTAAAAAAATCATTTTTAATTGATGCAAGGTAATTTGGGCCAATTCATGTGGAAAAAATTTGTCAGACTAAAGGACATGACTCAGTGGGATATGTGTGAAAATCGGTTCGAGGTCAATAAGCACTGGCAATTTTTGAGAAAATTTAAGTATTTTAAGTGCGCCTTATAGTCCAAAAAATACGGTATGTAAAGTGCAGAGTGCTGAGTAGCAGCAATAGCATCACAGGGTGTTTTCAGTTCGAGAGAAGAACTCAGCCTAAATCTGCAGGGTTTGTGTTTTAAACATGTGTGAATGAAACAAAACACAACTCCAGGTCTGTTTGTGACCCTTTAAATACAGAATGCAGTGATGTCATTTAAAACCCAGTAATCTGCCATTTTGTTTTGGTTTCTTGTTTTTACCTGAGTCCAGCTGGGTTTGAGCTTAATCAGCGGTTCTAGTTTCTGATCTAAAAAGTCCAAAAGAGCGTCGATCACAGGGAGAGAACCGTCCAGCCACTGCTCCGTCCACAGACCACAGACCAGCTCCTACACACACACAAACACACAAACACACAAGATATGTCCAGAGAAATGCATCATATTCCAATTTATCTAATAGTAAATTAACTAAATAGCAAATTAACTAAATAGAGCAAAGACAAGAACCTTTAAAACAGCATAAAAAATATCCTCTTATCTCATAACATAATAAAACCGTTGTCGTTTTTGTACATAAACCCATTACCTTGAGTTTTCTGCGGATTCCACTGGTGAGACTACAATACCCACAATCCCTCAGGGCATCGAGAGACTTCAAGCAGCTCTGCCTCCGCTGCTCGTCCATTTCCTGTTTCAGCACAAAGTCCCTGGGAAACATGGACAATCGATTCATTAAAAACAAGGATAATAAAACCTAAAACAATAGCCTGATTTTTATCGTTGAATTTTACGTTTGTAGAGTTTTTATTTTTTTATTTTTTTTACCTGAACTGTTCTTCACACACGAGCTGAGCCTTTAACACTGATGTGACGTTACTGTGATTTTCTTTGACAAACTCCTCCACCGCCTGAACGTAGCTGAACGAGAAGATACACAAGTCAGTTTTTATAAGTAGTAGTTTAAAAGTAGGCCCAGTAACAACAGTAAAAACAGAAGTAGTACTAACAATGGTACGAATTTTTTGATTGATCTATTGTTTTTATTTATTTATTGAGCATATGCAGAGCACAAAGAAATGTCTACATTTTAAAATTTATATATACAATACCGGTCAAAAGTTTAAGAACACCCAAATTTCTCCAGATATTTGTTGCATTTCAAGTTGTGCAAGTCCAATGAAGAACTTGAAATGCTACAAAGGTAAAAACTGAACAGACAGAGGTAAAAAAAAAAAAAAGAAAAGGTTAAGTTAAGTAAGTAAAGTCAAGTCAAGTTAGTAATGTAAAGTAATGTAAGTAAAGTTAAGTCAGTAAAGTAATGTAAAGTAAGTCAAGTTAAGTAAGTAAAGTAAAGTTAAGTTCAGTTAAGTAAAGTAAGTAAAGTAAAATAGAGCAAAGTAAGTAAAGTTAAATAAAATAAAGTAAAATAAAGTTATGTAATGTAAGTGAGTAAAATCAATTAAGTAAAGTAAAGCAAAATAAGTAAAGTAAAATAAAGTAAAATAAAGTTATGTAATGTAAGTGAGTAAAATCAATTAAGTAAAGTAAAGCAAAATAAGTAAAGTAAAATTAAGTAAGTAAAATTAAGTATAGTAAAGCAAAATAAGTAAAGTAAAATAAAGTAAAGTAATGTAAGTAAAGTAAAATAAGTAAAATAAAGTTAAGTAATGTAAGTAAAGTAAAATAAAGTTAAGTAAAGTTATGTAAATAAAGTAAAATAAAGCAAAGTAAAACAAACCAAAGTAAAGTAAGTAAAGTTATGAAAATAAAGTAAAATAAAGTATGTTAAGCAAAGTAAGGTAAAATAAAAATAAGTAAAGTAAATTAAGTAAAGAAAAGTCAAGTAAAGTAGTAAAGTAGATTTTACACTTTAAAGCCTAACAGAGCAGTGCGAGAGAGAATGTTGTTGACATCAGCTGCAAAGTATCAGTAGACCTGCAGTGTAATTTTTCATTCACATTTTGTTCAGTGTTTGAATCTAAACCGAGAATAGTGGTTCATTTATGAGCACATTTCAGAACAAAAATATATTCTGATTATTATGGGGCTGAAACTGTGATGTTCCGGGGTTCACCTGCAGAGGAAAGTGTCCAGGTGATCAATGACCATCTGACTCTGCTCTGGCCCCACACAGCGCAGCCTCAGCAGGGACGAGGTCAACACCTGAAACAGCACAATTACACAGTTACAATGACTTGAATTCAGAACAATAAAGCTGCACTGTGTAACTTTTCTGGTGTTGTGTCCATCACCAGTTTATTTCCATGGAGATGTTATTGCTTTGTCTGGAATGTTCCATTGTGCGACATTTAACTTGACACCACCGGACCAAAATACCAGACCTAACTGTCCCTATTTACATTTACAGTCTGATTTCACCACAGTTTTCTGCGATAAAAACATTTGTAATTGAACACATTAAAGCTAGATTAATGCCATATTGTGGAACATTCCAAGCAAAGGGGTCCATGTAGACAAGCAGGTGATGGACCCCAGTGAGAAAAGTCACATAGCACAACTTTAACAGCTATTTATGGTGTTAATATATATGCATCACAAATCTCGGACTTGTGGTCATCGTGCAATTCATACTGGGAAGGATTTTCCAAAAAAGTGAGCATCAAACCTCCATGTTTGTTTTCCCAGTGGGATGTGTCTATTGTCAAAGTCGATCTTTTCAAGTCTTTTGAACCCTATCACTTTTGTTTCTGGTTCTGATATTGTCATATTTTAGTTTTGGGATTCGGACATCGTAATTGTGTTTGTGGTTGTTGGATCCTAACAGCGGAAAACAGTTTAAGAAATGGGCTTTGGAAGTTTGTGAACTCCATAAATACAAAAGGGAATCAGATGTGTGTGATTGCAAACCTCTGTTCAAACTGTTTCTCTTTCCAACGGAATTGAAAAATAGTGAAAGGTGAAGGTGATGGGCAGGACTGATCCACAGGAAGGACACAAAAGGAAACGTTTGACTGCCTAAATCATCCCAAACATTTTTTATGTGAAGCGCCAACAAATCCCGTTTGTTAATGGAGAGGTGCAGAAGACAAACAGACTGAGCTTGAACTTTCTTGTTCTTGTGGTTTTACAGCAACATCACGTCTTGGTCTCTTTGCAGTGGAAGGTGTTTCTTGGTGAACAGTTGGTGCCTTTCACTTTGGCGTTGACTTTTAAAATTCATAACTGAGGTTGAGTGAGGGATCGGGATTTTGGTTTGTTGTTGCTCCACATACAAAATGTTTGCTGTAAACTCAAGATGATTTAGGCAGTCAAAGGTTTTCTTTTCGGTTCTTCCTGTGGATCAGTTCTGTCCATCACCTTCACCTTTCACTATTTTTCAATTCCGTTGGGAAGAGAAACAGTTTGAACAGAGGTTTACAGTCACACACATCTGATTCACTTTTGCATTTATGAAGTTCACAAACAAATGTCTCGAGCCGTTTTCCACTGTTAGGATCCAACACCCACACAATTACGATGTACGAATCCCAAAACTAAAATATGACAATATCAGAACCAGAAACAAAAGTGATGTGACTTGACTTGAAAAGATTGGTTTTGGGAAAACAAACTCACTTGATGCTCACTTATTTGGAAAATCCTTCCCAGTATGCATTGCGCAATGACCGGAAGTCCGAGGTTCATGATGCATCTATTATCCATAATATAAACCCCATAGTTTAAAATAGAGCTGTCAGATTACAGATTTGTGGACCTGATCTTAAAGCTGCATTGTGTAACTTTTCCAGTGGAAGGTCCATTAAATGCTTTTCTCCATTGAGACGTTATTGCTTTGTTTGGAATGTTTTTTGTTTTTGTTTGTTTGTTTGTTTTTGCATGCCTGTGTCTGTTTTTCAAGGTATTTTTGAGTTATAAAACCACCTGTAATTGTTGAAATGTAAAGTAGAGCTGTTTAATGTCACACTGTGGAACATGTCATATCCATAGAAACAAGAAGGTGACAGAGCCTCCACCAGAAAAGTTACAATATGCACTTTTAAACTATGAAAAACGTCAGTCATTATTTCACATTTTGTTTGTTTTAAATTAGGGCCGGGCACGTTAACGCGTTAACTTTGCATTAACTAATGAAGTCATTAACGCCGACAATTATTTTAACGCCCTTAACGCAGTTTTTATTATTTATTTATTTATTTATTTTATTGTAAACGTCTGTTTCTCACTGGCTTTTATTTTGAAAAAGTCCACCGCGAGCGTTTCTTTAAGTTTAACGTCTTGACACTTTTTTCACTTTTTTCTGACCACGTGAGATGCAACGTGCCCGAGCCTCCGCGAGCCGCGGGCTCCGGCTCTGAGCTGAGCTTATTTCTTTAGTTCAGTGCTGGAGTAACTGATTTACCCAGATACCATTGGAAGAAAAAATTTGATTGGTCCATTTCCATTCCATTATATTAACCCTTTGTTTCCTAAGAAATATCAGTCCAAGTTTATAACACTGATCTAGAAATTATTACTAGTGTCGTGTTCATTACTCACAGCATAAAAAATATTCAATAAATATATTAGTAGTACAAACGTCCATTCAGTATTTTTTCTTGAGCCTTCCCTGAACACCTTGAAGACTCTGAGGTTCCCCTGTGAAAGAAATACTGTCTGCACAACAAATGTGTGGCTCTTTCATTTACATTTCCAATAAAAGAGCGCTATACTCTACTTTTTAATTCATTAATTGGTTTTGCGTATAACATGTGATTAATCGTGATTTTAAAAAATTATTTTTGCCCAGCCCTATTTTAAATACAGTTCAGTGACAGATTTCAACATTTTCGGATCATAAGTTTGAATATTTCTCCCACAGAGTCACAGACCTCGATCACGTCTAAGGCCAGAGGGCTGCTGCACTGAGGCCCGTCCTGCTTCACGTTCACGGTCTGTGTCGCCCACGAGTCCACCTCGATCTTCAGCGCCCTCTGCAGCCACTCCTGTGTAGTGCTCTGATCACACAAACAAACACACGAGAGAACAGAAGACTAAAATGTCACTCAAAAATGTTTACTTCAGAGTTCTGTTATGTGAGGAGAATCCGTGTGTCATTCGTTCATTCGTTTTTCAATATAAAACCAAAAATAATAAAACGAAAAAAGAGACCGGGACTGAGACCAGGACTGAGACAGGGACCAGACTGGGACTGAGATCTGGACCAGACCAGGACTGAGACCAGGACTGAGACAGGGACCAGACTAGGACTGAGATCTGGACCAGACCAGGACTGAGACCGGGACTGAGTCCGGGACCTGACCGGGACCAGACCGTGATTGAAACCGGGACTGAGACCGGGACAGAGACAGGGACCAGACCGGGACTGAGACCGGAACCAGACTGGGACTGATACCAGGACTAAGACCAGACTGAGACCAGGACCAGACTGTGACTGAGACCGGGACCAGACCGGGACCAGATCGGGACCAGACCGGGACCGAGACCGGGACCAGATTGGGACCAGACCGGGACTGAGACCGGGACCAGACAGTTTAGTCCTGTTTTAGTCCTGGTTCAGTCCTGGCATCACAGTTTAAGTCATTTTATCCAGTTAGTGCAGGCGGTTCTTACCTTTGTGTTGTTCAGGTAGTGCTCCGTTAGCTTTACCAGCAGGTCTGAGGGCAGCAGAGGACCCAGAGACTCACTGTCCACTTTACCCTCCACATCTGGAGCTAAGACGTCCCTAAAACACAAGAGCAGGATTATGAACTAAAGCAAAGTAAAGTGAAGTATGCAAAGTTAAGTAAAATAAAGTTAAGTATATAAAGTAAAGTAAAATAAAGTATATAGAGTAAAGTAAGTAAAGTAATGTAAAGTAAAGTAAAATAAAGTTAAGTAAGTAAAATGACATTAAGTATGTAAAGTAAGTAATGTAAAGTAAAGTATATAGAGTAAAGTTAAATAAAGTTAAGTAAGTGAAGTAATTAAAGTAAGTAAAATGAAATAAAGTAAGTAAAGTTAAGTAATGTATAGTATGTAAAGTAAGTAAAGTAAAAAAAAAGTATGCAAAGTTAAGTAAAATAAAGTATATAGAGTAAAGTAAAATAAAATTAAGTAAGTAAAATGAAGTAAAGTAAGTAAAGTTAAGTAATGTAAAGTAATGTAAAGTAAAGTAATGTATGTAAAGTAAGTAAGTAAAATTAAGTTAAGCATATTAAGTAAAGAATATAGATTAAAGTAAGTAAAATAAAATCAAGTTAAGTATGTAAAGTTAAATTAAGTAAAATAAATTAAGTAAAGTAAAGTAAAATAAAGTTAAGTATGTAAAGTAAAGTAAAATTAAGTAAAGTAAAGTAAAATGAAGTAAAGTATGTAAAATAAAATAAAGTAAAATAAATGAAGTAAAGTAACATTAAGTAAAGTACATTAACCTGACACGTTACGGCATTTTAGTATTTTTAATGTTTAATCAGGATAACTCTACAAAGTGTTATCCATTTACTTTCAAAACGTTAATATAACTGTTGATTTCGGGGTTAAACAGGAACTTTGGTCCAGTGTTACTTAATGAACATTTCCAAAAAGGTTAAATTAACTCTAGAACAGATTGGACTCATATAAACCCTGAGAAAATGTTAAAATTCATTCTGTGAGAGTCATTTTTAACACTCCACTTTTTGCTGTAATGGACCCTGTACCAGAAAAGTTGCGCAGTGCATCTTTATGATAACTTCTCCTTGTCCTGAATAAACTCTTATTGTCTAAATAAAATGTTGACAAATACAAGTTTTGGTTTTCGTTTATTAAAGACCTGCAGCTCTTCTTCTCACCTGGGGTACCTGTGATTGGCCCAGTTGAGCAGACAGTAGAGGGCGCTGTCGTCCAGACCGGCGTCGGCGAGCTGCTGGAGGTGAGAGGAGAGGCAGCGGTGGTACAGGGGCAGGTACGTGTTTAATATGTCCACGTCGCCACGGTAACAAGGAGACACTTTCTCCTGGATGTACGACAAGTCCTCCCTCATCTGATCAGTGAGACGAACGACCTACGCGCCAAAAAAGTCTGGTTAATTTAGATCCTCTGCTCTGTTCCTCTGACCTTCTCCTCTGCTCCTCTGACCTTCTCCTCTGCTCCTCTGTCCTTCTCCTATGTTCCTCTGCTCCTCTGACCTTCTCCTCTGCTTCTGCTCCTCTGCTTCTCTGACCTTCTCCTCTGCTCCTCTGACCTTCTCCTATGTTCCTCTGCTCCTCTGACCTTCTCCTCTGCTCTTCTGACGTTCTCCTCTGCTTCTCTGACCCTCTCCTCTGCTCCTCTGACCTTCTCCTCTGCTCTTCTGACGTTCTCCTCTGCTCCTCTGACCTTCTCCTCTGCTCTTCTGACGTTCTCCTCTGCTTCTCTGACCTTCTTCTCTGCTCCTCTGACCTTCTCCTATGCTCCATCTGACCTTCTCCTCTTCGTCTTCTACTCCTCTGACCCTCTGACCCTCTTCTATGCTCCACCAGCTCCTCTGACCTTCTCCTCTGCTCCTCTGACCCTTTCTTCTGCTCCTCTGACCTTCTCCTATGTTCCTCTGACCTCCTCTGCTCCTTTGACCTTCTCCTCTGACCTTCTCCTCTGCTCCTCTGACCTTCTCCTCTGCTCCTCTGACCATCCCTTCTGCTCCTCTGTTCCTCTGACCCTCTCTTATGCTCCTCTGACCTTCTGCTCTTCATCCTCTGACCCTCTGCTCCTCTGACCTTCTCCTCTGCTCCTCTGACCTTTTCCTATGTTCCTCTGACCTTCTCCTATGTTCCTCTGACCTTCTCCTCTGCTCCTCTGACCTTCTCCTCTGCTCCTCTGACCTTCTCTTCTGCTCCTCTGACCTTCTCCTATGTTCCTCTGCTCCTCTGACCCTCTCCTCTGCACAAACCCACACTTTTTGTCTTAGCTGAGTTGAGTCTTACTCAAACCGACCTCCTGAGTGACATCTACAGATTCCTGGTCTGAAGTCTCCCCAGATTCAGTAGCTGCACTTTCAGCTTTGGACTGATCTTCTTCTTCATCCTGAGAGAAAGAGGCAGGGAGAGAGAGGAGGTTGGATGAGAAAAAGAGAAATGCGGTGAGAGCGAGAGAAGGAGGGAGAGATTAATTATGGTTTGGCACTTTGCGTTAGTAGCTATGGCATTAAATGTTTGTATCTTCAGCAAGACAATCAGGATAAAGCAGCACACCACCTCTGGAAATGGTAGGTATTTTTGGTGTGAGATAAACTTGACTAAAGGTGAGATCAGAAGAACTGTATTAACACTGTTGTCATGTTTGCAGTGACTCTGTCTGACCTGCAGAGGGCGCAGGGAGAGTCGCTCTTGGACCATGTTCCACAGCAGCTCGTTGTGATCCAGCAGAGTCTTGTTCGGGCGCCACACCGGGACCAGACCTGAGACCAGACCATAGACCGTATAAAGAAGTGGACTAAGTGAATGCAACGTCACCCACAACGTTCGACTTCAGTCAAATGAAGCTCATTGAGGCTGGAGAATTTGGAGTTTTAAGGCTGCTTTTATATGATGACGGTCTGAACAGAAGACACAAAAGTGGCATCGCGTCTTTACTTTTTATTCCGCGTTTAGACGAGTGTTTTCGGGAGGAAGTCTGCGTACATACAGTAACACAAAAGTGTGTGGAATTCGATTGTGTATGTTTATTCTTCAAGCAACAAGAGGATCTTTGGACATAAGGAAGTTTTCACTCCACGCATTTTCGTCAGCTCCTCCTTCCCAGTGATGCCACTAACGCGCTGCTTAGTGACGCGTTACTGTAGTCCGACTACTTTTTTCAGTAACGAGTCGTCTAAAGCAGTGCTATTCCCAAACCAGTAGTCAGATTTAAGTTACTTATCGAACACACTGTGCGTTACTATATTTGCGTTTCAGGGCGACGTAGGTTATTTTATTTTTTTTTTTGCCGATGTGGGTTATGTGACCCCAAAGATCGTATAAATCGTCTCTGGTGAAACGTTTCCTATGATGATTTGTCATCTCCAGATGTAAACAATGGAGGGAAAGAGGTACGACTTTTATAGCTGGAAAGACAAACACTATTTTGATTTTATTTCAGCTAAGGATGACAACTTAACTCTTTCCCCCATGAAGACTACATTTGACGACCCTCCCTTGTTTCCTTAATGACGTCTTTTGACACCTCCGCTGTATCACTAAAGGCGTGATTTGACGACCATTACAAATGGCTCGGTTTTTCACATGTAATCAGAGGCTGTGATAGGTGGGGGCCTCTACAACCCATAGATACTAATATATGTATGTGTTGTTCCACGTAGGCGTCCAAGGGGGAACGAGTTAAACGTTAGTTGTTCACTCTGTGCTGGTGACAAAGTGTTGTCTGCCTTCAAGAAGGGGGTGGAGCATCAGCCGCTGCTGAAAGTAACTAATAACATAACTTGTAATCTAATTTAGTTACTTTTAAAGCAAGTAGTCAGTAACTTACCTAAGTTACTTTTTAAAGAAGTAATCAGTAGTTAGATTACTATTTCAAAGTAACTATGGCAACATTGCTCCTTCCACAAAGTTTGTCCCACCATCGACTGGTTCTCCAGGTCTTGTCCAGATCCGTCTGACTCGACTGTGACGACCTGGTGCATCCAGAATTTGACAGAGGTGATTGTAGATCCTTCTCTGTTCACTAATAATATCTCTGCAGATTCTCTACATTTGTTGGGAGCCTCCTGTAAGTTTATTAGAAGCTCGAAGGTCCGACACATGAAAATGATCTGACATGTTTGTTTCTGTGTACTGTATGTATGTGATGTAAACATGTACGTGACTTGAGCAGATCTGACTAGAGTTTTGCGTCTTGGGCAGTGCAGACAGAAACACTACAGTGGAGTGTATTAAACTTTTCTACTCTGGAGGGTGGTTTCACATCTTTGCGTTTTTAAACCCCAAAAACAGCATCACCGTCTAAACGAAAGGCACTTCTGATCAAATATTTTGTCGTTTTTACCCGCCGGCGTTCTCGTGACCCTAACCCTTACAGACCCTTATATTTGAAATTCCAACCTGAAGTATCAGAGCAACCAAAGAGCCAATCAGGAGCGAGGTTGTTGAGCAGGAGCTTAGAAACGCTGTTATTAATGTTCATATCTTGATTCATGGACAAAATAGCAAAATGAAAACTCCAGGATGATGTAGAGTGAGTTAATACGAACATTTTAAGACCAAAAGGACGAGGCTCACAGCAGCAGTTACAGAGAGAGAGGCGACGTTTTTTCAGTAGAAAGTGAATTGGAGCCAAAAGTGCACCCATGCTCACTTCCTGTTGGAACATAGCGGCTAGTGGGTTAGTTATGTCGATTTATATATATACAGTCTATGGTCCAGACCTGAGTCCTGACTGGTCCAGCGCTGGTCCATCTCCTCCTGCTGAAGAATACAGAACACGGCCGCACGCAGACCCGCTGGGGCAAAGTCCGGACTAAAGGTTTTCTGGACCTCGTCTCGGATCTCGGTCCGGAGTTGGTCCAGGTCTTGGCGCAGTTGGGTTTGTTCTTCTTCAGACAGACCCCCCTCGGTCATCATCTGCTCCTCCCTCTGCACCAGCTCCACGCAGAACCGCTGTAAAGGCAGGACTTCCTCTGCATCCTCCTGTGCGTGAACTGGAACAGAAACAAAACAAAGTGAATCCTCTGATACTCTGACCCTTTCCTCTGCTCCATCTTTTATGTATATATATATTTTTTTTTATTTATTTAGTTTTCAGTGGACAGTGGACATTAATTATTCATTAAGTATTACAATAATATAAATGTACCAAAAAGGCTAGTTTTCATCGGCAGCCTAGGCTCCCTAAAAGTTTATTTATTTATTCAATATTTTACCAGGTAAGACAGTTGAGAGCACTTTACAATGACAACCTGGCCAAGAGGCAGTATAAAACAAAAGAACAAACAGAAAACACTAACACATCATGAAACAGTGAGTAGAGATATAAGACAGTGAAACATTTGCAGATTAAACATATAAAAGTGTTAAAAATTTGCAATTATCCTGTAAAATACTCTGGATGGAGTTTTTAAAAATTGACAGAGGTCAAAACAAACTAAGTTTTAAAGTCTGTTGAAGGTGGTTCCAGTCACTTGCTGCAGAAAACTGAAATGAGGAACAGCCCAAAGCCGTGCCGCTGCAGGAAGGACTGGGGTCATGTTAATTTCAAAGGTATAAAGTCATTAAAATATATTAACTAGTATAAACAAGTATAAAAGTCAATTTGTTAAAATGCAAATACAGATAATATTCAAATACACAGTTTGTGATTATATTAACTGTTTGGCATTTAAAAGCCTGAAGAGGTTTATAAACGAAAGGAAAACACAGTTGGGCTGAATGTTGTTTTCCTCAGAGATGGTGCAGCGCCCCCTGGAGGAGACTCAGGTGCGACAGGACAGTGATAAAGGTGGAAAGAAGAGGTGGAGCTAAACCATGTAGAACTGTATACTGCACACTTTTCCTATATTTTCACAATTTGATAATCATTTTATTGAGTATAATTTTAAAATGTTCAGGAGTAAAAGTGTATCAGAGAAATGAACGTTAATCCACTGGTGAGTTGTGTTGCATTTGTGCCCATGCTCCTGTTCTTAAAACCAAGTCGACACTCTTCTGCCCCCTGGTGGCTTGTGGGCCTCATGCTCTTGCTTTCCCTTTCCCTCTTAACGTCCCCCACCCGTCCCCTCCCTCTTCACGGCCTCTTCTGCAGACAGATAACACACGACAAACTGGGTAATGGTTATTTTTAGGTCATTTGTTCCACACTGATAAAGGTCGCTGGGTTTGCATTGAAGAAAAAAGTAAAGCGGTTGCCGGCTGCATGCAATAAAATTATGTTTAGGCTTTTAAACTTATTTCAGCCCCCTCTGCACATGTTTGACAGAACAAGATGAAATGTGAGTAAACATATTCATCTTATGTTACCTTATCATGAACAATTTTTATGGTTTTATTTTTATGTATAATTTAATTCTGTCTATGCACTTATTTTAAAATGCAACATCACATGTCCTTACAGTGTTTTGAAGTAAAAGAATACAAAAACAGTCTTTAGTTTTCCACAGATCTGTATTGTCACAAGTACAGAGAAACACAGTTTGGAATTGGACAGTGTGAAGATTTATTCCAGTGAAGACGCTCTGGTCTCTGCCTGTGGACAAAGGAGTAACACATGATTAGATTATGATGTTCTGCTCTGTGTTGTACGTGTTTAAATATACTTAAAGTACTTTTTACTCTCTAATACAGGGGTTTCCAACCTGTCACTCGGGAGAAACCAGTAGCTCTCTACCCTCTTCCAAGTATCTCGCCAAAGGATTTCTGAATTATATGTATTGCTTTTATTAACTAAACTCTGATTAATTATTTCTAACTTGTGCACTAATGAATAGATAATGGTTTATAGGGATGTAACAATAGCAGAAATATCGTGATGTCATATTGTTGAAACTCTCACAATAATATCAGATCACAAGTTCCTTTACTTAAATGCACGGTTTAATAGCAGTAACAGCTCGTAGACATAGAGAACTACATATCCCATGATTCATTTCAGTGCAGACAACATGAAGGAATATGATTTTTACTTGAATTATTGAGATTATGGCGGAAATAATTCACACCAAAATCTTGTCAAGGTATTTTAAAAGCAAAAAAAGTGTCTTATCTAACTGTTCCTCGTCTGAAGTTTGCCATAGCTCTTCTACTTTCTCAGTTTCTTGCGTCTGCTAAAATGAGCAGCTCTCTGGTGTTTTCATTTCATAAAAGTTTGGAGACCTTTGCTCTAATACGATGAAGGATCAGAACAGAATCACAGTGAAGATTAGAACTGTACAAGCAGAAACAAAACTCACCATGTGCTGCTTTTCTTCTTCAAAACGCAGTAACAGGAAGGGCATCTGGTATAAAGTCCAGGTAAAAAGGTATAAAGCGCTTCACCAGAAATGATAACAAAGTCGTGTTTCCTCAGCGTGATTAAAAAACACGGGTCTAAAATCGGCCACAATCAAGTGACGTTTGTAAAGGATTAAAATATGCAAACAAAAGTCATGTTATTGTTGTCAAATTTGTGTGTCTCAGAACATTTTTTCAGCACATTTCTACAAATATTATGAATTCAATTTTGTATAAAGAGGTATAATATTTTAAAATACGTCTGACCTGAAGTAGTTTCATTTGTAAGAGCCTTCTTTTTCTTCCCAGCTTTCTCTTTTTTCTTGTCTTTTCTCTTCTCATTTTTCTCCTTCATGTCTTGAAAAAACAAAAACAGTTAAGACAACAACAAGGAAAGGACACAAGTGAGCAACTAAGGAAGCAATAAAAGGACCCAAGGAGTCAAAAAAGGATGCAAAGGTGTTATGAAATTTGTTTTCAGATCACTGATAGGGTTGAATAAAATAAAAATAATAAATGTGCAGTTTTGGGTGTGGTCGAGTAAACAAAGTGAAATTGTTTTGGATTTTTGTAAAGTATTTTTACGAAACTGAAAATATAATTGTCCATAAATTTCAATAGAATAAACAAGAATAAGACTTACCTTTGCACATCTTGTTAATTTTGTTCTTATAAGAATTCATCTTTAATTGCAGTGAAGGAAAAAGGACTATACCAGGACTAAACAAGGTCTAAATCAGGACTAAGCCAGGTCTTAACCTGTACCGAATCGGGTCTAAACCAGGACTTAATCAGATCTAAACCAGGACTAAACCAGGTGTGCAGTAGGCCTACACCAGGACTAAATCAAGTCTAAAGCAGGTCTACACCTGGACTAAACCAAGTCTAAACCAGGACTGAATCAGGTATAAACCAGGACTAAACGAGGCCTAAACCAGGTCTGCAGCAGGTCTACACTACGTCTGCACCAGGACTAAATCAGGGCTTATCTGAGGCTGCTCAGAGCATCCTTCCGTTTCCCAGAAGTACTTTTGGTTTCGGTTTGAGTTTGCAGCATCACTTTATGACGCCATCTGTTGGTGAAAAACGTGAACTGCAGTTTCCAGATCCACTGACGGTGAAAGAAAAAAGTTTAAAGCTTCAAAAGGGCGTAGAAAAAGCTAAATAAAACCAGAATAAGATTGAGTTTTAAAGCCCAGAGAATGAAAAAGTGCTGCGGTCGTCAGTGAGTGTGCTGCTTTTCCAGACTGTGTAAAAATAAACTGTTTCTTAGCATTCCCATTCAGATTAAAACATATTTTTCAAGGGAGTCCAGGCCCAAGAGGAGCAAAGTTCAACACATAGGTTAAACATACACGCACAAGGATCACAATATTAAGAAAAATATTGTTGGGGACAGTATTTAATGCCCTCAGCTTGGATTTAAAGACATCAGATCTTCATTTTGATACTATTTTTAAGACCTATTTTGTTTTGCGTTTTGTTTCATTTACACATGTTTAACACAAAAACCTTGCAGATTTAGGGTGAGTTTTTCGCTCAAACTGAAAAACACTCTGTTCTGCCTTGTGATGAAGAGGAAGTGTTCCACTATATGGCATTAAATAGTATACTTTTGTTAAATTTAAAGTTTAGAGGTGAAAAAATACTCTTCTTTCTTTTCTATTATTTATCAGTTTCAGCAGTGATAGGAAAAATACTCTAAAAGGAATGCTGGATATGTTAATTAAAATGCATTTTGTAGCATATCCCGATACATGGTCCAATCAGAGTACTTATATTCTGAATACTTAGAATACTTTTTACATAGAGTTGCATTTTAATGATAGAGTAGAAGCGCAATATTGGATTATAAACAGCTTTATGTTTGTTTCACCGTTGGTTAATCATTTCCTATCACTAACTGGAAAATTAAAATCACACTTAAGCTCACTACAAGAGCTGTGTTTTCTATTTTTCCCACTAATACTAAATTGTACAATCAAGTACTGCAAGTATCTGTACTCTTTCTGAATACTATCAAAAGTAACTGTATCATAATACAGTTACACAAAATTAGTATTCAGAATATGTATTGCGATGCATGTATTTCGTTACTTCCCAACACTGATTGTGAGAAGATTCAGCTCAGACTCACCCTTTTATTTACTATTTGGAAAGACTAGACTTACGAACTCAGGGGGCGCATACGGTCAAATGAGGAACTGCACACAAAACAGAACAAAGCATAACTGGCTTATTTTTTATTTTTTATTTTTATATATATTTATTTTTTTATCAACTTAATTTATTTGGCACTAATTAAAAATGCTTTATTTTTATTGTATTTTTTATTTTATCCCAGAACCGGCAGAGACAAAGTCAGGGGGCGCATGCGGTGAAATGAGGAACTGCACACAACACATAATTTACTAATTTTTATATTTTTATTTATATATATATATATATATTTTTTTTATATCAACTTACTTTATTTGACACTGATTAAAAATGCTTTTTTTTTTTTTTTTTTTTTTTTTTTTTTTGATTCCAGAACCGATCGTCTCAACTCTCGCGCGATTTCGTTGCGGTATATAAACCCCGAACTCTCGCCGCTCTTCCTTTCTTTCCCTTTAGCGGTGAAGGTGCAACAGTTTTCGGTCGTCCCGAAACCGGGTTCATCCGACACCCTCACCACAAATCCAGCTGATCTGAGCTCCACGGCGGCACCATGCCTCCCAAATTCGACCCCAACGAGATTAAGATTGGTACGTCTTGAAATAATGTCTGAAAAGGTTTAATAAAAGCTCTTCTCCGCAGCCAAGATGGAGTCGCTTCTTGCCCGACCGCATTTTTATGTATCGGCCTGGGCAGGTCTGGAAAGAATTTAAGACAACAAAACGGACTTAGCGATTAGTTAATATTTACATTAGCGATTCACGTGTTTATATTTTGATCGATTGTTTAATTGGTTTGTGCGAGAGTTGAGGAAAGTGTTTAGTTTGACAGCGACCACGTGTGCTCAGCTAACGAGGTTTAGCCACGTTAGCCGCACTCTATAAGCTTTTAGCAGTAGGATTATTTTATTCTTATTGAGCCGAAATGTCCAGTCTAAAGACATTTATGTACGTAATAACTTGAATTTTTTTCTTGAAGCAATACCAGGATTTTCTAGTTGGTCAAACTGTTTTAATATGAAGATTTTTGGCTTAAATACTGACAATAATTATAGTTTTCAGCTCTGAGAACTTTTAAGGCAACATTTTGACTTTCCACAATTCAGATTACACGAATAGTTTTTTATTAAGTATGTATACAGAAAAACACTTTGCTTTGGAGCTTTTAGAAATTTATTTTAATTTGAGGACTAAGGACTAAAAAAACAAAAAAAAAACTTGCTGGTATGACATGAAAGGTGAAAAAGATTTGCCATTTCCACCTGAAAATGTTGATAGTTTGTACATTTTCTGAAGTAGAATGAATGTATGGGTCGAAGGATGCTGAGATTACAAGAAATGGAGAGGCGCACAAGGCGTTAGATGTACCCAGTGTTGCCGTTTTTAACATAAAATAAATTCCGAACTCCAGTTAATCCATTTTGGTTTGAGGTATTTGCGTTGAATGATTCCCTCAAAACTGGTATGGACAGTGCAATAAAATGGTTATCAATGTAATGCACGTGTAATTTATAAGTGGTACTTATTTTCACTCTCGAATAAAACAATTTGAATGTAAAAAGGCAGGGACATTGGCATTACCTGACCAGCCACAACCACACGATGGTTTAATGACACAAACTATTACATAAGATCCGATGTTCTGTTTATTACCCCAATTCAGTATCTGTATAAAACCTGTCTAGTAGTATGGGTGAAGGGATTAGTTTAATTTGAAAGATTTTAAAGTTATAAAAATAGAATTCGGATTATAATAAAGGCTCACAACGCAACATTGGTAGCCTGTAATTTCTTTGAATATTCAGAATAAGCAAATGGAAACTACAAACTTGCATAATTTCCTCTAAAAGCAAAGAAAATGACCAGTCTTGTATTATCTTTAAGGCTAACTGTAGTTTTGACATTTACAAACATTCAGATATGGATGTGATTTTTATTCTAGCAGTTCATGGTTCAGTCTTATCCCAAAAGTTAATGCTTCTGGTGTTTTTAAAATGAATCATACCAATTAACACTATCTTAAATCTAAACCTTATCACATTGCTGGTCAGATTAGTCCCCAATTGGTGCATCAGCCACGCAATTTCTCTCTCAAGTTCTCTTAATTGAAATGCAGACATTTAAATTGGAAGCCTGAATTATAAAAAAAAAAAATAGCTTATTAGATTTTGAGAATTTGCCACAGGGTTTAAGTTTATACAGATTAAAAAAAAAAAACACACAATAGACTCGTCAGGCCTTATTTCACAAAGCAAGGTCCTGAGAAATTTTGTGTATCTTGCATTCAAAGTGACAAGAATCGATATACAGGGTTTAATTTTAATAAGTTCTTTACTTAGTACAGTTGCATCCAGTGTTTCCCACAAGTTTATACTAAGGACACAGGCGATCCATATTTGAATAATCTTATTTAATGCAATAATATGGTGTGTAGATGTCACTTATTGCTTCCACTGAACAAAAAAAGCACTGATTAGATTAAAAATTGTTTAATATTTTTATAAAACTGCAAGTATTAATAAAGGTGCACTGTAACTTTTTGGGTGGGGGTCCATCACCTGCTTGTTTCTATGGAGATGTCATTGCTCTTCTCAGAATGTTCCACACTATGACATTAAACGGCTTTATCTTACATTTATTAAAGTAGTTGGGTTTTATAGCTGGAAAATACCTAGAAAAACACAGATCTGACCTGTAACTTGGTCTTGTTTGGTCTCCATGATGAAAGGTTTAATACAATACTGTGGAACATTTCAGACAAAGCAAGAAAAGCAAAGACAAACTCCACCAGAAAAGATACACAATGAATCTTAAGTATAAACTGTCTTTCCTTTTTTTTTGGTCTACTTGGAGTCTGGGGGTGAAAATTAGACTGGGGTCTCCATAGTCTTGTCTATTAATGAAAAGCACTCGTTACATGAAATATGCTTCATTAAAGTTCTTTGTCTCTTGTGTTTCAGTGTACATGAGGTGCACAGGAGGAGAGGTCGGAGCCACTTCAGCCCTGGCTCCCAAGATCGGTCCTCTGGGTCTGGTCAGTATCTCTGCTGTTTTTAAATAGTGAATAATTTTCCAACAGCCTCCCGCCACTATGCCTGTCTGCAGTGACTGAGTATGTTCCAGTGGAGGCTCAGAGAAACTCAGCTTTAGGAAACAGGGCCGTTCACACCAATGGACCGCTCTGTGCCGAAAAGACTGGGACAGGCAACCACAATTTTAGTTTTCACATGATCTATCTTGCTACTTTTTGTGACAAGGTGTATTTTTATGCCGTACTTTTAGGACTAGGAATGATTGCAATTGTCAAATATTAGACAGCAGTTTTTAGAGTCCTTTGGAAACAAAATATCTAAACATGCATGAAAAACAATAAATGTGTATTCTTGTATTAAATGTTTAGCTGCTGCAATTTCAGTTTATGCTTCTGTTTATAATGTGAACTTGGAATAAAATCCAACTATTAAAACAGAAATCTCAAATCTAATCATTGCAAAAAAAAAAA